GCAACTTCTGTTTTTTTTTTTTTTTGCTCAGGCATACAGCCACTTGGGCTTGGCGCTCTGTGAGCTGCCAAGTTTCGGTCGTGAGGAGTATGTCTCAGATTTCTCGGAGAACTCGGCATCCTCGGCTTCAGCCCAAGCATCTTCCCTGCTGGCCGGCTTGCGCAGGGACATTCCCATGGCACCCCGTGGACGGGGTCGGTGTCCACACCGGATGCTACCCCTCTGGACTGGTGCTGCCGAACTGGAAGCTGGATGTTCTCCGCTTCTCTTCGTGGCGGTGCCTCCATGTCCTGCGCTGCCAAGCTCGCAAGGGAGCTCTCCTACACTCCTGCAAGCTTCCTGCACATTGGCCTTGAGCAGAACAGCGGATGCCTTGAGCCTGCAACTTGCTGGAGAAGATGAGAAGCGCTTCAACATATTGGCACTGCCCACGGCAGCTCTTGTTCTGCTACAGCTGGCATCAGCCGTGACGGAGTGGAGCGATTCCTGCCAGATCCTCAGATATGCCTTGGCATTTTGCAGGTCTGTTTGAGTACTGTTTTGCAACCCAGGCGAGCATGGCTCAGATAGGACGAAGACGCTGCTTTGGCGAGCCCTTATGGCAGGGCAGAAGTTTGCCGCCCTGGATGCAGCCGATCCGACCCTGCCTAAGCTCCACGCCAGCGTGGGTACCAGCAGCAGAGCAGTTGCTTTCCGAGGCCGAGGCCACAACTACAACCCTTCTTCACATCCTTGCCGTCCAAGGAGGAGCCAGTCGTGCATGTTGATTCCCAGAAAGTATATTTGCGTCTAGGCCTAGGCCCGATCTCTCGCAGGAGCTTCTGGTTCGATTCGAGTGAGGGCCCGAGGAAGGAATCGGCTCTGGGCAAGTCCGGAGAGCTCTGCCGAGCTCCTCTGAGGCATCTTTGTGGGCGTGCATTGCTGCTGTTTGCAAGCTGGCATGACAAGGCTGTGCAGAGCTTCGCATATGTCTCAGCATGCTTAGTAAAATAACTTCCGTCTTCATGACTAATCTTCGTACTGCACGTGCTTCTTTCCCATCTATGCATGGGAGAGGGTACTTGAAGCTTTGCCGTTCACGAGATTTTCATCCATTCTGACTTTCGTTTGCGCATCAGGCCAGGAGAGCTTCGCCATCGCATGGTGCGCCTGAGGCACGAACCTGAACACTTTGTCGCAGCAGCCGCACGGAAAGCGAGAAAGTCTTGCATTGCGGTCTGAGCTTTAAGCTTGATCACAGGCGGTCGGCTGTGATCACTTCTCTTCTTTGCAGCTGCTTTACATGTCGGTCCATGTAGGTGAGGACGAAGCACCGGACCACTTGTTTCGACCGGTGTCCAGATTTCGTTGTTTGTGTCGGGCAAGATGCTGTGGAACCTGTCAGTCAGTGCTATTTTAGACCGAAAGTATCCCCGCGAGATGCCAAGCGTTCGGTGCTCTTCGGCAGGCAGCCGCTTGGGATGAGTTGGACAGCCAGCTGTGCAGGTATTCAGCAGAATTCTGATACACTTGACCAGCCTTTCGCTTTGTTGTGCCGCACGGACGTGAGATGCCTCGCTTTTGACAGGTTGGAAACCTGGCTGGACGTGCAGAACTCCGAGGGCAAGGCCGTGAGTGTTGGTGCACATGATAGCGGAAGCTCAGTAGTCTAAGCAGGTTGATGCAGCTCTGGCTCGTCTCTTACCAGATCAAGTTGCTTCCTGAGCGTTCACACGTGGATGCGGTCGGAGCACGTTTCGTGTGGCAGCAGCGTGGGCTTCCGAAAAGTGGCTGCCAGAGGTGGACGAAGAGTCAAGGCACTTGTTTTGCAAAGTCGCTATAGCACGCGGGATCATGCATGCTCGATGTACATGCAGTCACACGACTTGCCAGAGATTCTTCCCGAAGGTGGAGCCTGTTCGATGGCAACAAGGTGAGTTGCACATGCAGGACGTAAGATGCTCCAGACTCTAGCTCTCGGGATCAGGCTCATCATGCACCATCAATGTTTGGTTTGGTCATCCTAATGCAAGACCAGAACTCCAGATTTGTGGGGACTTAGCCGAAGCGGCCAGGCCTGTGAAGTGCACCGTTGGCGCATTCGCGCTTCCTGGCATTTGCAGCGGAGCGTGCGCCTGCTTCCGCCCAGCATCTTGGAGGCTCAAAAGATGGTCTCTCCTCCTGAGTCGACCTTCTGGCCACGGGGTTGCCGGGGTCATTCTGTTCTGTTCTTGCCACGACTGAAAACGCTGTGTTCGCAGACTGGATCGCAACGGCGCGGCAATTTTTTTTCCGTGTATTTTCTCCTGCCGAGTCCTGGAATCCAAACCATCAGAAAGAATGCGATTGTTGCTGTTTTCATGCTTTGCATGAGCATTGTCATACACAGATGGAGTTGATGCCTTCCATGTGTGTTGATATAGAACGAATGATTCCGTGAGAGACCTGCAGGCCTCAGGTGCACCCCGCCCCCTTCGTCCCACTAAAGTCCACCCAAGTCCACCTGTGCTGCATCTTGGACGGTAGAAGCTTGCAAGCCACGTAGGCGAGATCCCAGCGTTGCTGCAGCTCATTGTTGAATGTGCCGGGTCCACAGAGAAAGAGGTCGGTAAACTGATTCCAGGACGTGTAAGCCGTGGGTCACCTGTTTTGCACGACTCCTCAGGATGATGATGACATTGGCCACCTCGCTTTCAGAATCTGCTGCCGGAGACCAAACTGAAAGAACATACCCCTCAAATCCTTTCAGTCCTCTCAGCTGATGTTTGTGTTTTGAGGCAGGGCTTTTGGGGCAAGCGGCAGAACTGGGAGAAGGTCACTGCAAGGAAAGCGAGCGCAGAGTTCAGTCAAGTCCTTTCCTGGCAAGATGCGACAAAGTCATCTGCTACCTTACTGCTGCAGGCCTGGACAGTGTCTGTTTGCATAAGACAGCACGGCTGATTTTCGTCCGAACTTTTGCAGCAGTTGTGCAAACACCTTGCGACTCTGCTAGGATTCATCCAGTCACAGAGTGCCAGCTTGCGGTAATGCGCTACGTGGCCCTTTTATTCGAGATGTTGCTGCTGAACTCATGGGACACATGGTGACATCCCTTCGCCATGGCAACCTCCCAGTCCAAGCGAAAGCGCGATCATCGGCCAAGAAGGCTGTGCTTCTTGTTTCGTGAATTCTCATGTGGTAAGGAAGGCAACGCATGGCTTTGCTGCAAGAAGCTTGTGAAGCAGTTGTGAGCATGCTTTGCAGGCCAACAGCCACATGTGAGACATCAGACTGTCCGATCTGTCATGGGAGATTGAGAAGCTGTGTGGCCCTTGTTCCTTGTGGCCATGCGTTCTGCAAACGCTGTGTGTACTTCGGATCGGACTGGGTTTGCCAAGCTGTATGATTCGAATTCATGACTAGTGCTTGAATGCCTTTCGCAACCAGACTGCGCACGTCTGTGGGCGCTTATGCTTCCGAGGCAAGAGTGGCTGAAGCGATCTTCCTCTTGCCCCTCCTGCCGCACTGATGTGCTCAATCCGCGCTGGGTCCGCGTTCGGATCGTGGACGAACTGCTTGAGCTATTTCCACCCGGAGAAGGCGCGAACATGCTCTGTGGTTGCTTGCGTCTTGGCACGTGTGCACCGAACCTACGTTCGGCTGCAAAGGAGTTTCGGATAAGCCGAAGGCCGGCAAGCAGTAAGCGACAGCAGAGCTTCGAGGGCAAGTGAAAACGAACTGGACAGCGCGCGACGGCGGCCGCGGCAGTACTGTGTTCTAGATGTTCCCGAAGCTAGCAAGGCGAACCGGCTAGCCTTTTGCAGGGCTTTCTGAAGACTTATAGGCAAATCAAGGACCTGTCATTGTCATAAAGCCAAAGTTGCGCTCTGGCGAAGGCATCGGCCATGGGCCACGACCATGGATTGTTTTTGTGCAGTGGTCTTGCAAGGATTCGCCAACTTTCTTTCAGGGCTCACGTACGTAGAGCTGTCCGGGTTTGGCTTGGGCAGTCGGATGCCTAAGCATCGAAAGCAACTTCGGCGAAACTTGTCTTGCTGCGTCGAGGAGCAGACTTGCCATCTGCCGTCTCTGAAGCAACTGGAGATGTCGTTCAGCCGGGATCCTGTGGGTGCCCATTTTGCACTGGAGCAGGGCTGCAATGCTATGCATACTGTAGCAAGAGAGCCTGCGACACGTTTCTGAGGAACTGCCATGCAGTCCTCCGCGCCTCTGGTGGTGAAGCTTGTGGTGCCGTCCTCATTCGCACCTGAAACAGTTGTCCGTGGTTGCCATGAGACAGATCTCCAGGTAGATCATGCGCTTATGTCGGTTTCCGGCTGATGCCACGATATCAGAAATTCCGAAATTTGAGGCATTTGGGGGTCAGCAAGTAAGGGTGGCGAGAAACTGTTACCACCCGGATGACACCAGGCTCATCAATACTGTGGGTAGCTTGGCTTCGTGGTTATGGAAAAGTGCTGAGCAGCGTTGAGGTGGGTATCGGTGCGTGGCTGCGTGGCTGAGGTGTGTGTGGGATGGATCTTGGCCTATGCCGACGGTGTGCAGCAGCCACGTTAATGCAGTGCGAGGAGTGTGAATCTTGGATCTGTTCTTCTTCCTGTACCTCGCGGCCATGCGTCTACTGCCGCATTTCTCACGTCTGTGCCAACTGTTACAACTCCCCGCTGAGACGCTGCCCGCGACCAGAGTGCTAGAGTCGAGCCAGCCTCAAAAAGCGGGGTGCCTGCTCTTCGTCTTGGAGGTCAGCTTTGCTGTTGGGAGGCGAAGGGGACGGCTGGTTCCGAAAGACCCGCATCGCCTGACGCAGCTGTCCTGACGTGGAAGGCACGCCATGCAGAGCCTCTTCCTCCAAATAGCACCGCAGGGCGAGCCAAGACAATGAATGGACCTGAGATGCGATGTGAAGGGCATCGTACATGAGGAGGCATGAGACGTGCCCCTGTACGTCCTGAAACTTTGACAATTCAACTCGCCGGTCTGAATTGCGGACCTGAGATGCTACCGCGCCCACACCCAACCAAAATGGTGGACCTGAAACTCCCGTCCACGGTGTCGATGGGCAAACATCGCCCAGACAGCGTCCAAAGCTCAAGCGGTTGCAGTCATATTTTTCTGTAGATCGGTCCGCTCAAAGGGCATTCAGATGGTTTTGCAGATGCGCTTCGCCGTTCCAAGAAAAGTCCTGAGACAAAAAGCCATGCCTCGACTGCATCTCTCTCCGTGGTTTCTGTACCTGTCCTGCCTTGTGAAGAACGGCAGGCCTTGAAGGCGGCAAACGAGCAACTCAGCCGAGCAGAGGATCTAGCCGATGCGGCAGGCTACAAGGCGTCGGTACATTTTGCTCATTGCGATGTTTACCGGCCAGCACGTCATGGAGGCAGCGGCAGCGCTGGCCCAGGCAAGCAGAGGTCATCTCTGTGCCCTGGCTGCTGTCCAGCTCCCAGTTTCTCTGAGGACCATGAGCATTGGGATCGAGCTTCGGATGACATCAGATGACCATGGTAACAATGATGAATCGGCCTCTGCGATGTTGTTTTCTCTCAGCGTCTGCAGCGACGCACCAGATCCGGATTCTCCGTAGCCTGTAGCATCCAGGTTGCCCCTCCATTCATGTCGGAAGGAGGGCAGGTCAAAGTGAGCGCAATGTTTTTGAGGACAAGTTGTCGATGCAGCCTCCCTTTATTCTGAGAATTGGCATCTATACTCTATTGCAAACTTGAGTTTCGCGTTGGTAGTGCATGGATATGATATTCGTGCGCGTGACCTGGGCAATCTGTCGTCGTATCACGACTTCCCTTGACTCAATCATGTTTTTTTGGCTTGTTTCGGCCTGATAATCTTCCCACACATCTGTGCAGCTTCGAGTGTCGGCGAGTGGACGCCAAGGATTGGATTGTCGATGCTGTTCGTCGAGGACTGCTGTATACTGCTGTGCTGTCGGTGCTCAAAGCCCAAACTCTCGCTCAATGCCTTGCGTTGAGGAGCGCATGATCCATCCGAGCAGGCTGTGTCGGAGCTTTTTGCCTGTGTGCTGCGATCACGGTCAAACTTTGTGAGGCTGATGTGATCCAGAGCCGCGGCCTCGGCACAAGCACAGACCGAAGTGTTATGCATTACATGATTCATGAGGCCATGAGATTCCGATTGAGCTTTCCCGAACGGGGAGATCAGAAGCTGAGGCAGAACACACAAATCTGTCTTCCAAGGTTTGCTGGAGGAGGAAGAAGAGGAGGAGGAGTTGTCACTGAGCGACGGCCAGGCGCACACGGTGCAGCGATGATGCTTGGTACTTCGTGTCTGAATCTTCCCGGCCAGGGTGTGATGCTTCTGGTGGGTCGACTTGGGGACCAAGCTGTGGCAGAGACGTATGCCAACGGCTGACTGCAAGCTTGTCGGTTGTCTTTCCACCGTGTGAGATCTGGTCAACAGAACCGTCTGCATTCCGCGGGGGTGTTCTTGAGGCTGCCATGCGCAGCTCGATGCTCAGCCTGGGAGTGTTGTTCTGAAGCAAACATGCTAGACAATATGCTCAGCTCTGAGCCATTCACCGGTGTCCGCTGCGTTGCAGCTGGTGTCCAAGGCATCGATTCCGTGGTCGAGCCTGACGCGGCGACAGTGCTGGCACTAATGACAAGTGGAGCTCTCCAGGTTCCGTGGGCTTGTGCTGTGCTATATCAAGAGGGACGGCGGCAGTTTCAATGACCATGTTATATACCACATCTTACATGCCTCGGAGTAGAACAAGTCTACTGGAGGGTGAACTTCTGTCCTTGGGCGGTAAGTCTTACGCGGTAAGTGTGCTCAACACTTCTGAAGGCAGCCGTCGATCGCCTTCGACTGCTACCTCCTCCGGACGTCTCGGAGGAGCAACGTCGTCAAGTTGTCCTCGACATGCCTGCATCTCAGCAGGTGCAGCCAGGCTGCAGGCCATCCCTGTGTGCGAAGATGCGCCAAGGCTTGGGCAAGCCGTCCAATTGCTTCCCGGAGAAGGACAGTTTCCATCTCGTTCAATCCGTGCTTGAAGTGCAGCTTGACACATCAGGAGCCTCAGCTGCCAGCACAGTCGGCGCTTGTGTAGACCGGTGGGTGCCTTAAGGAAGCGCAAAGTATCCGAACCAAGTAAAGTATGCAGTGCAGAAGGCAATGCGCCATGCTGTCCGCCCAAGCGCACCTGGCTTTGAGCAAGGTGCAGAATACCATTGGAGGGCGGGCAGAGAGGGCTTGTGGAGAACCTGCGAGGTCCATGCTGGCGTGGAAACGTGCAGCTTGGCTTGTCACGACAGGTGCCACGCTCAAGCCTCAGGCCCTGAGGGATCTTCCCTGGTTTCACCATGTCAGGCAGAGCCGACAGCCTCACAAGACGGCACCCTGGCATCTGGACAGAGTGCGGTCTGCTTTGCATAGAGCCTCGGAGCCTGCCACGTGCCCAGACGACTTTGACACAACTCACAGTGGCGAGATTCACAGTGAATCGAATGCTCGGGGCCTTTCCAGCCATGCTAGGTTCGGCTGGAAGATCAAACTGTGGTGACTGCAATGTGCGGCTGGCCGCGTGCGTTGCTGTTTATCAGACTTTCACACTTTGGCGCACATGGCAGGCTGATTCAGGTCCATCTGCTTCATGCTAGCTTCATCAGTCGCAGACTCGGGAGAAGGTTGGGGTTGGAAGCCAGCAAACAAAGATGTTACAGTATACTATAGTATATTATGGTATATTATAGTATATTGTAGTATATTGTAGTGTATTATAGTACATTATAGCATATGATCGTCGTATATTATAGCATATCATAATATATCATAGTATGTTTAAGGGAGTCACTGCAAGAAAACGTGCGTTGTCTTCGGATTGTTGGCTATCAAAGGCCTCGGGCACGTGCCGACCAAGAAGAGGCAACACGAGCGCAGCTTGGGTCCTGGCCAGGCGTTGCGTTATTGTTATTGTTTGTCGTTGTTTGTAGCATTATCACCAACATTATTTTTAGTATTGCTACTTTTTTTTTATGAAAGATCTGTGCCATGTGGCGTCGTCTCCTCTCAAGGTCTCGAAGAACTGCTGGCCGCAAGCCGCCTCGCTGCCAGTGTTGCCACCTCGGCTTGTCGACAGATCCACTTCCAGAGTACTGCCAAGCAATTCCGTTGCACGGAAGCCCTCAAAGGAAGATGGTGCGAGTGGAGTAGCAGGCACGGTCTGAATGGTGCTTGGTGGATGCCCCTTGTGGTATTGCCACCAGCTCACAGGTGATCGCATGCTGCCCTTACGGCTGAAGGCTCTTGCAACGGTGGTGTTGCGAGATATCTGGCTTGCCTGTGCTCGTGCCTGCATTCGTTCCATAACGTGACAACACTCTGGCACTGTTGTTCAGCTCTTGGCAAGATAGCTAGGTTGACCTTCCTTATCAGCACATGCCTCGGCAAGACCAAATAATTGTGTTTCTGCTTCGGTATGCAGCCTTCTTTGCCGCCCAAGTTGGTTTGAAGCTCTTAAGCCTGGGCCACGGGCTCCTCAGAACGCAAACGCTTGCAGAGCCACTGAGAGCAGAGGGCTAAATACCAGGCGGAAGTGCCAGCTTCGTTGCTTTGTCATTTCTGTGAAGAAGTCTGCTTCCAGACTGTGTGGAAGAAGATCAAGACCTTGGTGCTTGACCAGGTGCGTATGAAGCTCAGGACACACCGCTGGTAGAGTTCGGGAATCCTTGCATGTCCTTGCTATTGTCTGTTCCTTTTCCACATGCAGATTCCAAGGCCACGTGCTGCGGTTGCTGTGTACAGGAAAGCCTTCAAGTTCCAACGAAGGACCGGTGAAGAGTGCTTTGCAGAACAACGTGGAGCCTTTTGTGATACCGAGGATGGAAGAGCCTTTATCGATTTGCACTCAAGCTCGAGCCGTCCGAACTTGAGTCGATTGTAGCGCCGGTTGATGTGCCATCCTCGGATTCCGCACCCAAGGCATCAACTTTCCGAGTTGGTCAGTGCCTACGACAAGACCCCAATCTGACACCTTTGGCCCGTTAATGCCTAGATGCACTGAATGTGCCCGCACACCGCTAGTTTTAGAACACTTCTCTTCGGTGGCGCTATTTCTGCAGAGCCTGTTGCAGCTGTCCCGTCATGTACAGGAGGCGATTGCACCGGCAAAAGAGGTTTTCACAGCGTGTGACAGTCCTGAGAATTGTCTGCGCAGGCAGTCGCTTGATGTTGAGCACTATAGCTGTGCATGTCAGCTTTTGCAAGCAGAAATGCCACATGGGCACCGTTGAAGAAGGCATGGAGGCAGTCATGTCATTTGCGGCGAGCCGCCAGCACGCGTCGAGTGGCATTCCTCGTAGTCTCATAGTGGTACGAAGCTTTGCCACAGAACGAATAGGGTGATCAGTTGATGGACCTTGAAGCACCCATGGGTGATATCAGGCACGCAGTCCGATTTTGACTGTCTCTGACTCTGGATCGTGTGCACGACTTGTCACGACTCTGCTAATTGTCCGATGCACTTCAGTATGTAGGAATTGAGTGTAGAAGAGGCCATGCGCTGTCGAGCTTGGCTGCAGTCCTTGGGCTGGCTGTCTCGACCTCAGAGCCAGGGGAGAGCCGTGATGTGTGGGAGTGCGGCCGTCTCTAAGAGCACAGAGGACGCTCGCGAGTGCCGCCCCGAGTGTCCCCAGCTCAAGCACATCGCGACGCCGTCTCCTCGCACGTCGCCACGTCTTCTCGGGGGCTCAGGTCGACATAAATGACCCGGTGAACCTGGGCACCTGCACCTGCGACCTGACAGAGGCCGGCGCCCATGCCTACGCCTTCTTTAGACATATGCCAGTGTCAGAAGAACTGCGTCTTACTTGCGTTGGCGGCAGCCAGGGTCAGTGCGACGTGAACTGCTGTTTCGGGCTCGGCACATTGCCATCGGCCTTCTCATGATAGCTCAGCTTCAGAGCCTTCGCGAGGCTGTGACCCAGACTGCAGTGGTCTGTCGGGTCTGACTGGAAGTTTCAGCTGTCTTCCAGAAGGCTTCCGTGCGATGTGCAGAGCACGCTTAATTCTCTTTTCTACGGCGTCAGGACCAGTGAATGCGAATGCACAGTATTGCTACTCGAAAAGCTGGTTGCACAGTGTAAATCCGTCGAAGGCTTAGCGTCTGGAATTTGCCTCTCTCCACCTTACTTTGGCATGTTTTGGCTTCTCTCAAGGCGCGTCGATCTATGGGTCATTGCAGATGATCTGCGTGGCCTTCTCTGCGTCTCTGTGGACAACAGCGCCTTGCAATGCATTTTTAAAATGAAACTCCAGTCAGGTGGCTCAGGTTTTCAGATTGACTGGGTGCTTAGGTGCAGTGCGCGGCGAAGTCTTCCAGAATGAGGCAGCAAAGAAGCTCTGAATCACTGGAAGCACCCGCTGAACGAAAGCAGGCAACACTGTCATCCTCGCAGATCGACGCTGTGATACAGGACTGCTGAGACCTTAGCGTGTGTGACGGCATCTGCCAGGCGTTCCTTGTTCTGACCAGGAGAGGCAGCGAAGTAGTTCGACGGGCACTGCAGTTGGAGCCCTCAGTACAGAGGATCTTCGGCTTCGTCCATGGCTTGGCCTGGTTGGATGAGGCAGATGAACAGGTTCTGCGAGGTTATCGTGCCGGCGACGTGTTGAAGGCCTGCATGGTTCCACCGTTCTTTGGGAGCTGAAATCGGGCACTCGTAGATGTCGCACACACCACTGCCAAAGCTGAACTTTTGCCGCAGATTCACTCGGCACTTTCGGCAGCCGGAGAGGCGTGGCTGGCTTGGTGGCATGTGCCCGACATAGGAGGTTCAAAGGCCAAACCATGAGCTGGTAGTCCTGCCCGATATGGTGTCAAGCAAGCCATGTGCATGCTCGTAAACGAGTCTATGGACGAAGCGGTGGATCTCGCGGACGTAAGCATGGGATCTCTAGAACCTCTCATGAAAACCAGTCGACACAAGGGTGGCGCAGTCTGAAGGGTTTGTTGACCCGCTGAGCTATAGAGGCTTCGAACATGCAGAAACAGCCAATCGTCCCAGTGTAGCAGACCCACGGAGACTGGTTCCAGGTGCTAGCTGTGACAGGCCCTTCGACCCTGGAAGCTGCTGGCAACATGGAGGCGCAGCCTCAGAGTGCGCTTGCCACAGAGGGGGAAACAAGTCAGGTCGTGAGCAGCCTGCGCCTGCCGACAGCTGATCCTCTGGGCACATGTGCGGCTCCCGGCCAAGCAGTGAGGCGCGATGGCATGGCCTGATTTAACCGTGTAGGATTTCCCCGGGCTGCCCAACTCGGGCGTTGCATTTTCTATGCCTCGATGAGATTATTTCAAAGGTAACCAGCACATTCACTGAGTTTCGAGCGTTACGCTTAGCAGGATCATCAATGGGAGTTTGCCGTCATCGAAGGTCCAAGCAATTGATGTGCAGAAAAGATGTACGAGGCTTAGGGTTTCTTACAACAGCTGTTAAAGTAGCCTCCAGAATGCCCTCTCATAGCACCCTTGCAGTATAGAAGCGTTTCAAGTTCCTGGTTTTCACGGAGCGGCTCGGCTGGTGCAGACTGAAGCATAAGTTGAGCCCTGCTGGAACAAAAGGTGGGCAAACTGAGACCCTCGTGATCGCACTTGCAGAACCCTGGTAGGTTCCTGAATGATGTTCCTGCCGCCGGTTGTTCGCGCAATGTGGACCTGGCCACAACTTGTACACAGCTCGGAGCCAGGCCTGAGCTGAAATCGCAGCGTTTGAAACGTTGCTGCGCAAAGCTGGACAGGTCTCGCCTGGAAAGCTTTATGTCTGGGCCTCAGCCGAAACATTCACTTGTACAAGCGGGACGATAGAACTAGCGCGTGTCATGCCATCAATCTTAAGGCTCAAATTATTGTTTTGTCTTCACGTCTTCACCACCTCTAAAACTCAACATTCAGTAAGGAACAAGGCCCTGTCAAGTGCTTACGATCTCTTCGAGAGGGTGTGCTCCCTTCCGTTCGAGTTGAGTACCACATTTCTTTTCAGCTCCAGCTGTAATGGCGGTGAGCAACTCTTGCATCATTTACGGCACTCCATCCGCTTGTGCCACATGGTGGTCGCAAGTCTGGCTAAATTGACCACGGCAGAAACTATCCATTCATGCGAGTTGCAGCAGACGACCTGTGCTAGTATCGAGGTTGCGCAGCCAGTACATGCCAGAGGCGCCAGCTAATGCTTCCGTTGGATGTCGGAGCATCGTTCTGATTTTGTGCCAGGACATGCGCTGCGGAAGTCGCTGCCTGCTGCCAGAGATCGTGGCCTCATGTCCTGCTGGATCCGCTGTGGCCCCGGTTGAGTGGACATCGTTGTCATCTCTGGTCCAGTCGCTGCGGTGCCAAAGGCGAATGGATCGGTGCCACCCTCAGGATGTCGCAAACAACGCGACAGGGGGAGACGTTGGAGGCCCTGCCAGACTCTGACCAGGCTAGCACCCAGTGCACCGGCAACGCGCTGCCGCTTGAAGACCCGGTGTTCTCAGGAGGTGGCCGCCTGAACCTGCGCTGTCTGCTTCGCCGGGTTCCCCACAACCCTCTCTAGGTGCTGATTCCTGCAGCTGCAAGGGTGTCCTCAAGGATGTGTGCGCGACCCGGCACCGAGTTCTGCTAGGAGTGCAATTGTCCAGCTGCGATGTTGAGGCACTACAACTTCACCTTTGGTTTCGACGAGACTCAGCAAGTAATGTCCTCAGCTGAATGGGCATCTACATCTAGATTGCAATCCTCAAATCCTTTTCCTCTACATCGCCGCACTGCATAGCCTTTGCTGCCCGACAAGGTAGTACGCATCACCAACATGGCAGTCAGCTTTACGCTGCAAGATGTGGTCAGTCAAGGCGGGCTGAACCGCATTTTTTGGACTGTGTGTCCTTGGCAGCTGCTGCATGCTGAGGCTGCCAGGTGGTGAGCTTGCAACAGGGAGGCAGTGTTCACTTCTTCCAGGTTCCAGACTCGGGAGCCTTTGAAAGACCAATGCAGCCAGTACAAGCATGGTGCAGCATGGCAGTTCCGGAGGAGCAGTCGGATGGAAGCCAGCCCGAGGTGGCTTGACAGGGAGATGTCCTGATTTTGACACCTTCGGTCTTGAGTTCGGCTCACAGGCTCGATCTGGCAATCCTGGTTATCAGAACGGATTGTACCTCCCCAAGCTATGCTTTGTGGCTTTCGTCCGTGTGCAGGCGATACTGTCGTCTTGAGTAGTTGCCGAGGCCGTTGCTGGTTTCCCAATGCCTTGACTTCGACGGCTCCGGCACATGCTCCAGTTATGGACCCCGGGTGGAGGCCACAGTGCCTGGTATCACGATGGAAGGCACGCGCAAGATGAATTGAGGAGCTGCTTAGGTGGCCTGTGAACTTTGTCAGCGCTTTGAGGCACATGTCGACGTGTGAACAGCAGCGCGGCGGAGCAAGACGATGCTCGAGACACTGCCCGAGCGTCTTTCGAGTTAGCTGGCATTGTCTAAGTGTGGAGAGACTTCATTGCCTTCATGTCGTGTCGTTTCCCGGGTGCCGGTGCCATGTCTCCAAGGTGCCCATCAACTTTGGAGAAAACTCCATGTCTGGCTCCGACCTAAGTTGCGAGAATGGCCTGCAACTCCACGGTCCCGCATGGCCTGTGTGGCGGAGAAGGTTGCACACTGTCTCTGACGAGAGCGGATCTGGCAGCCTTATGTCGTGCAGGCCATGACCATGCCAGCACGGCTTTGGAGGTATTTGAGGCGGCATTCGTGAGCTTCGGCTTCGGCCATTTCTTGGCAGGCGCTGATGCAGCGACTGGCTTCACTGGCAGGGAGCCTCAGCCCAGCAAATTTTCAACAGTCCTCTTCCTGGAGACTGGCCAGGCTTGCTGGCAATGCTTCCTTTCGGTCGCGTGGATCTCAGAAGCACTTTGTCGGGGCCAAGCTTCTTGCTTCTGGCATATTCTCAGCTTCATGATCTCAGCAACAGGATGATTACTCTGCAGTTCTGACCCCCAGCAAGTTCAGGATCTGGAAATCGATGGACGCAAATTGCTGCGTTCGGCAGTGTGCCGACTTCAGCGCAAGATCCAGCGGACTGGGTCCAGGCGTGCGATGGCTGAGAGTCTCTCCGTGTTCTGTCGGCCGCTCTTGCCAACCTGGAAGTCTGCCAGGTGGAGGAGCTGACCAGGATTTGCCAGCTCTAATGCCTGCGAAGCACCGCACATGTGCACTTACACTTGCCGTGAAGACGACACATTACAACGCAGACATTTCGGGTTCCAAGTGCGGCATGGCCGCCGGCTCGGCTATGTCCGACAGTCGCCATGTGCAGCAGTGGCTGGTTGCTTACATGGAGAACTACCAGAAGCCACCCGAGCATGCCCAGCAGTTGTGTGCCTTTGCTCGACATCGAGGTGCCCACCTTATGTACAGAGTCGTGCGGGATGCGATGCTGGGTCTGACCACAGAAAGTGCTCAGAGTACGAACGCTCGGAGTGATGGCAGAGAGTTTGATGGTGATCCAGGAGGGGGTCATGGTGACGTGGCAACGAAAGGAGGAGATGCCTGGAAGCCCTGGCTTCCAATTCCTGTGCTTCGCCGCCTCAGAAGCGAAATCAAGGGCACAAACAGCGACAGCCGCGACAGCATCAGGATGACCAGGAGAGCTCAATCTGTGCCGAGATCGTACCGAGGGGTTTCCAGCGAGGGCCGTACCGAAAGCCAGCCCCTTGTCCAGCCGCGTCTGAGCACCCACATCTTGACAAAGGCATATCAAGCCGCAGCGAAGCAGCTTCAAGCTCACGAAGCAGCAGTACGTGCCAGAGAGAGCATAGAGAGATTCGGCAAGAACCTGGACCATTCGTCTCCAGAGCTAACGGTACAGTCAACCTCCTGCATGATCTGTTTTGAGAACACGGAATGCGTTCGAAGTGCTGGCCAACTCTGTGTTGATAGAGGCTGTGAAGGATGGTTCTGCAGCTGCTGTCTCGCACAATATTTTGAGAACATCATTCAGGAGACGCCATTTGCCGTACCGACCCTGCGCTGCCCGGGCTGCAAGGGTTTCGTGCCGCCTTCCTGCTGGCAAGAGCACGTCGCCAAGGCGGAGACCGTGGAGAAGTGGCATCAAAACGCTGCAAACCTCTTGTCCTTGCGCTGCGGAGCTTGTGACGAGCCAGGATCCTTGCTTTTGCCCGGTGTCAAGGCCGATGACTCCCGGGAAGGCGTGGCAAGGGAGGCCTTCGGCACGCAAGACCCGACGGCGTCAGCAGAGTTGGAGCAGAGTTGGTGTCAGTATGAAAGAGGAGAGATGAGCGCGGCCAGTCTCCTTGACGTGCTGCTCAGTGTGTGGCATCCCGGGTACGAAGACCAGGCTGATCGGAATGGGTTTGCGCCCGGCAAGTTTTGGGACCGCTTCTCGGCTGCTGCTAACCTCATCGAGGATGCCGGACTCCGAGCAGTTTTGCAGCTATCCGTGCTGAAGAGATTTCCCAAGACAGCAACGCTTTGCTGCAATGAGCCGCACTGCTTCAAGTGCAAAGTAACGACCCACCATGAAGGCATGAGCTGCGAGGAGGTGCTTGTGCAGCAGTCCGAGGTTGAAGATGGGGTGCAGTTCTGTCCAAGCTGCGGCGTTGCGACCATGAAGAGCGAAGGCTGCAATCACATGATATGTCTTTGTGGTGAGGACTGGACCTGGGATGGACCTGAAGATTAGGCGATTCATCGCTCCTTCAAAGCAAAACCTTTCAGTCCACCTGCGGCGCAGCTCGAAGTCTCAGGCTTGCCGATGCAAGTTTGACCAAGGGCTACTTAGTTGTTATCCTCAGTTTGCACAAGCATTCTGAGCTTGAGAGGGCCAGGCGAATGATACCGGACATTCTAGGCCGAGCTCCATGTACAGGTCAAATTTCAATTGCCGAAGGATGAAAACAAGATGATTTTGTGTGGCACCGTCTCAAGGCTGTTCTTGCAGTTCAATGTACATGACATGTCAGACATAGACTTCTTTGTGTTTCCTGCCGATGGTGGCTCAAGAGTACTAGTTGCAAGCGAGCGCGGTGGAGTTGGAGGCATACCCATGCCGTGAACCGGTGGACGTCCACAGGATTCCTCATCCGCAGCGCCTTGCCTGTGCGATCGAAGCTGGCTGGGTTTGCTGAGAGGGTATTCTGTGGCAGAGAGTACAGGTTTCTCTGTTACGTGTCTGCAGAGCACGACCAAGTTGAAAAAAAGTCGTGCAATCCAGAGCGGAGCCGTGGTGTTCAATGCTGAAGCTTCAAGAAGCTGCCAGCACTGTCACCTGGAGCCTCTTTGGCACACTAGCATCTGTGCCTATCTAGCAGCAAGTTCCATCTACTATGGTGGCAGGACAGAGGTGCCGGAGTTCAGCGACTCTGCAGGAGCACAGAAGGCCCGGGTGCAGATGCCACCCGCCAGCAGCACCGGATGCCAGGCAATTGATCAAAGACTCTTCCGGGCTTTGTGCTTCTCAACTTGCTACGCCTCTGTTACCTTGGGCTCATCCGCTCGACCGCGTCAGTAGACTTTGCAAAGTACAAAGCTGCTGCGGCGTGCGCAATAGATGCTGCTACCGACAGGACCAGGGAGTAGTGCCGGACGGGCCATTAGACTAAGACTTCCCAACCCTCCTGTTGTCGAAATCATCAGCTTTGAAGCAAAGAACTCAAGGCAGATGCTAAATCGGCTCGATTTGTCACTAGGAATGTCTCTGCGAGGCCTCAAACTCGACATGTACGGGGGTCGTGACGGGTGTTGACCTCGAGGCCTTCGAAACCTTTCATGCACAGAGAGAGAGAGAGAGAGAGAGAGAGAGAGAGAGACAGAGTGAGAGAGAGACCCTGGCGAAAGAAAGAGAGGGAGAGAGAGAGTTATAGGGGACAAGTGAGGCAACCTCGGACTCAACGAGCAGCAACCCCGGCAATGCCCGGGCGCTCGCGGAACCCCGCACAAAAGGGGCTCAGCACACACGGGATGGCCCAGGTTGGGAGTGCATGTGTTCATGTGGTTTGACGGGGCTGAGCTAGGGGACTGGGCCGCTCCGTGACACCAGCTGAGCCTCCTGTGTCACTCAGACAAGACTCGGACTGAAGCGTAGCGCGTGAGCGCAGGGTTTCGGGGGTTCTCCCCCGTGCCCAAACGCTGCGCAAGCAAGCAAGCAAGCAAGCAAGAGAGAGAGCCACAGAAAGAAAGGGCTGTGGCTGTAACTATACGACTTCATGTTTTGTTCCGTACCATGCCGCCTGAAAGTCAGTCCTGCAACTGCGATGGCCAGGGCCTTACTGTGTGTGAGTATATGTTAGTTAGTCCTTGTGCCGTATACTGTTGTCAACAAGAAGCCATGCAGTATGCACCCCAATGACTCCCCTGCCTGGTAGGTAGAGAGAGCGAGAGAGAGAGAGAGAGAGAGAGAGAGGCCTGAGGGTCGGCATCGCTGACCCCTAAGCCCTGCAGAAAGAAAGAAAGAGCGAGAGAGAGAGAGAGGGACAGTGGCGTAGCGCGTGAGCGCAGGCCGTGCAAGCAAGCAAGCAAGAGAG